GTCGAAATAGCTATAATGCAAGTCCCAATGTTTCTGCCGGTAGTGCCTAAAACTCCTGCTTGCCGTCGACGTGCTATTCATTTCGGGGTTCAAGTTATCTATTCTCGGTATCTTCGTCAGGCGTACGAAATCCCCGTTACCCTATCAGCTGACTATCCGGCACTCCCAGAAGTGGCGGATAATGGAGCACTGTCTTCCAGACAACTTGAGTCAGGCCACACGACGATTATTCTTTATTTTACCTCGAAAAAAACATGATAGTTAAATGGGCTCGGGTTGACCGCAGAATATATAAGGCTTAACTAGCAATCTCCACGGAACAGACTTCAGGTATTGGTGACATTTACAAACTATCTACCAGTCCGCCAAGTCAGTGGTAATGGAAGTGCCTCTGTTTGCGATTTTAATGGCGAATTCATTGCTGAAAGCTCAACCAACGCGACAACTTCGAACACTCAAATTTCGGTGAACAACCTATAATGCCCTCGCTCTCCTCCGCATCGCCAGTGTCATGTGACCTCCTCATCCCAGGTAAAGGTCGCCGATGCAATATGCCGACTGTGAAATAACAGGGCGTCGAGGGGCTTGCTCGCAACTGTATCAAGTACACGTAAGTTATTTTGCGACATTCAAGTTGCGATATAGGCCACCATCGAGGGGTTGGTACAAAATCAGACGCGATGATCTCCTTCTGTGTTTCTGTGATGCTTTCATAAAAGCACTTATAATCCCTGCATAACCGAAGCTACCGGTCATTAATTACGAAACCTTGGTCTGTCTGTCTGCTTCTCCTTTTATCGGTTTCAAACTAACCCTGTGATGCCTTTGTATTGCACGGTAAGCTCCAGGACACACTTTGAACTCTTTCGTCTCTTGAAGAGTGCTCCTTTTAGACTTCGTATTTTCCTATTTCCTTTGAGATAAGTGTTAATCTTGAATCCCACTAGTTTCTATTCTGTACGGCAGCTTGCGCTGAGATCTTGACAAAAGCTGCTCCTTTCTTAGTGAATTCAAATCATGTTGGGTAGGTTAACACGCACTTATTTTGCCCTCTTCCCAGGAGTCTGCCTTAGATGGGAGATCGATGGATCCACTGGAAAGTTTGAACCAGCCGTTACCTACGAATTATTCAATTACACCTCCTCGGATCTAAAGGGCAGACCTGCATCCGCCGACATCTGGAAGAAGGTGAGACGGATGTTTTCAGCTATTTTACACCCATTCATCCTCGGACATATCCAGTTATTTTTTAGGTTGACTTTCATTCTTCATCATTTTGTCAGTTTAAAATATTAACATGCACACTAACTTGATTTGTCATACTTCCAGTGCAGGCGCTAGATCAAAGTCCAAGCGCGC